TCTCCGCGCCGGCTCGGCTGAAACCACACGGGACGCGAGCCAGGCGCAGGCTGCCTTCTTCTCCTAGTCAACTGTCCGAGCCGCTCGAAACTCCGGCGACGAGTCGGCCACAGGAAGTTTATTCTCAGCTCCTTTTCTAAAAGGAGGAAATAGAAGTTTCTCCAAGCGGGCAGCCTTTCTTTTCGCCCCCACTCTTTTTTTTTGCCCTGTCTGAAATCGGGGCCCCCTAGACCTGCAGGCTTGACTCGCCGGGCAACTATTCTTTTTCAATTTCCATTTTTTGATTGAGCCGGCGGTCCCGCTGGGCTCCGATTGCGCGCGGGGGCAGGAGGGCGCGCTCGGGGGAGGGACCGAGGGACGTGCGGACTTTTTAGAGGGAGGGACCGGGTGGACAACTGGTCCCGCGGCGCTTATAGAGCAGGAAAGAAGTTCAGCGCTCGGCGCTCGGGGGTCACTGTTCCCGGGGTGTCGCCGCCGAGGGAGAGAAGCCCGGGAGCGAAGACTAGAGCCCGAGGCGCGGCCGGCAGGGAGCGAGAGCGCAGCAGCCGGTGCGCGGCCGCGGCGAGGGCGGGGGAAGAAAAACACCCTGTTTCCTCTCGGGCCCCCACCGCGGATCATGTACCAGGATTATCCCGGGAACTTTGACACCTCGTCCCGGGGCAGCAGCGGCTCTCCTGCGCACGCCGAGTCCTACTCCAGCGGCGGCGGCGGCCAGCAGGTAGGTGCGGGTCCCGGGTGCACCTGGCGGCGCGGGCGGACCCCTGCCTTCCTCTAGCGCCACTGCTTCTTTTGCTTTCTTTTCCCTTTCTTGGCTTGGCGAGAAAATTCCTACGGGCCACCACTGTAAGTTCTGGATTTTCGTCTTGTTCTACCCACCCCTCCTTTCGCTCCCCCCTTGACCCCAGCCAACACTTTTTTTTTTAAACTGGAGCGGCGAGTGGGCGGAAGAGCCGGCAAACCCTATACTTCACACTACGTCTTATCCAACCAAGCTCCGGGAATTGCAGGCCCCCTTCCCAGGAACCTGTACCTCCTTTCCCAGGAATTCGCATCCATTCTCTCTCAGTGGTGTACCAAAAAAAAAAAAAATCTTTGCACCCACGGGCCTATCCCGACGTCCAGGGACCTTATTCCTGCGAAAAAGCCCTCTCCTCTTCCTCCGTTCTCCATAGGGCTTAGTTAATTTCTAAAAGAGGTTGGAGACTCGGAAACATGGTTGGGCTCCTTCATGTAATCCGGAGGGAGGGCGAGGGTTGTCGCTCTGGGAATCAGGTGCGAAGGTCAGGAAGGAGGAGGTCAGCCTTGATTGGCTCGGGCTGCGTCTATGTGCCCGGCGCCCATCCATCTCCTGTTAGGGTCGGAGAAGGAGCCTGCACTGCCACCAGAAGGGGCGCCTCGGGGGTCTGGGAGTACCTCGGGCAAAGACGCCTGCAGAGAGAAGGGGGTGGTGGAGAGACCTCGCTTAGGCTCCTGGGTGGTTCTGGAAGCCGAAAAACAACTTGTTTCTAAAGCAGGCGGACTGGTTTGCACTGGAGGGATTGTGCGTTCGATCTATGCGTCTATAAATACCAGAATAAATACCAGAACGGTGCTGCTGGGTTGGTGCTGCTCATGAGTTGGTTGGTGGGCCTACCCTCTGCAGCAGCAGCACCCCTCTCCCCCAACCCCAGGCGCCTGTGGGAGCTGGCTTAACAAACGAGGAGGCTAGAACCTGAAGCCCGCCTGGATCAGGCTCTGCGCAGTCTCTAGCCAAGTTAGCCACAGCAAGAGTTGCTCTGGTAAGGCCGTGGCCTTGGCCTCTAGAAACCTGCCAACCAGGAGGGGCTGGGGTGGGCTTATGGGGAGGGGGACCCTGATGGAAAATAAAATGGAAACACGGCTCTCTTTGATATCTGAAGAGGGGTATCTTGTTCTAAAGTGGCTCCCCATACCTGGTGAGTCCTCAGAATGGCTTTTCTGTCTTCCCTCTACCTGCCCTGGTGTCGCCATAAGCACCTACCGTAGAGAACCTAGGCTGTGCATTGAGTATGCAGTCAGGGCACCCTTCATAATGAGCACCAAGGTGATGAGTTTCAAATCTTGTCCCAAAGTGTTTGACTTCGTTTGCTTTCCAGCCCCACTGGTGGTTTGTATTGAATCCAAGTATCATTAGGCAACGGGTTGAAGTCATTTATGCGCATTCCCTCACTCTCCAATTCACCAGCCCCCTAAATGTCCCTCTCCTCCTCTCTGAATCAGGAAGGGATCTTTTGATTTCTCATCTCCTTTGGCTGCGGTTTCTGTGGCAGTCATCATTGAAACGTTAACAACCTCGCCGCCTGGCTTTGCTCAGACCCTGGGGCCTGGATGGGAAGTCAGACCGGACATCAGTGCCCCGATTGAATAATCTGTGTCACTAGGGCTTTGAGCCCAGGATGTGAGCAGAGGCAATTCCCTGTTTTGGAAGAAAATCAGACAGGAAACCAGCGCTAGGAAGAAGGAAGAGAACTCAGTCCAGCAGAGTGTAATGGGGCCTCATTACCGAAGCAAAAAGCAGCTGTTGGCTAATTCCTAGCATGCTGTAACACATGAGGATTTTGCAATTAGTAATAACTGGTGCAACGGGGTTCTTGTATATACGCCTGCCTATTCGTCCCAGCAGCTTGAGTGAGGCGCCTTTCAAACCGGAGGGATTGGCAAGGTAATGCCGCTCTGGACAAGTTTTTCAGCCTGTCCACTCCTGAGGGAGGGGGTAGTGGGAGAAGGAAGGGGTGGTGGAGGAGGAGGGGAGGGTTTTTCCATCAGCTCTCTGACTTTGAGCAGAGCTGTCCTGTGGTCCTAAGGACTGATGTGAGAAGCTTTTGTTACTTCACAAGTCTGTGCTAGGACCCCACCCGGGGTTCAAGGTAACTTTATTACATGCCAGATAAAACCTGTAATCACTTTACTTCTCTTAGCTTCCTTTATGGGGAGACTTTCCTGGAAATTAGTGATGGGCTGTCCTCCTTTTTTGGCATCTCAGGGGACCAGTCAGTTTAAGAGGGTTCTCTGGTTTTACCTTGGGTGAGTGAATATTGTTTTTTCCTGCTCTCTTTGTTTGTGGGGTCTAATATTCCTAGGAGTTCGCTGCTGTTTACTCAACCTAGAACTTTCTTCTCTCTCTCTCTCTTCATGAAGCTTGATCTTAACACACGGCCATAAGTTCCAGTGACTTGGGGGTCGGGGAGGGGGGGCAGGTAACTCTTTGTTAAAACCTCTGTTCTTGTATATGGCAGGAACTTGAAGCATGAAAAATATTTCCTGTTCCAGTTGTAGTGTTAATCTCAAAGGTTGGCCATTGGTGATTCTGATTTGTCACAAATAGTTACACACACCTCCCCCTCCTGGCTGCTGCTTTTTGTTGTTGTTGTTTTCTGTCTCTCCTAACTTTCCTAGGAAAACACCTCCCAGATATATGCCCTGCCTGGCTGCTCCGCTCTTACGGTTTCAGGCCCTGAGCATTACGCAATCCAGCCAGTTACACAAACATAGGTCATTTCATAACTTGTTTTCATCAGCTGGGCCCCCTTTTAATGAAAAAAACAAAACAAAAACAAGACCCAGAACCTCTCCAAGGCTGCCATTTTGTCTGTTCCTCAGATAACTAGTGAAAATAAATCAAGGAGGATAGTTCCTTTTTGGGACCAAGGAATACCAGATTAGGTCTCTTCTTTGGCAGCCATCGTTTTCCAACACACACAGACACACACACACACACACACACAAAATTCCCCAGAGTGAACTTTTGCCAACTATACCAGGCTGGGACATTCCTCACATCAAAGAACTTTTACCAGAAATGACTGTGATTCCCAAGTCAGCCCCAATCATACCTCTCTAGTGCCCCCTACAGGACATCCTTAGAAGGACTGTCTGGGGAATGTATTTTTCCAGCCCCAGAGAGTGTTAACTTGGTGAGTTTTCGGAATTCTTAGGATTTTTTTCCTTTTAATACAGAACAAATAAATGTCATATATTTAACAGTGGTTAACTAGGAGCTGCTTGACTTCACAATGCAGTTTCTTTTCTAATTTTGTTTTGTTCTAAATAAAATCTGGTTGAAAAAGGAGTGCTTTTTTTCTTTCCCTGTTTCAATATCTGTCTGTTCATTGCCAGCACAATGTCTTCAGATTCACAAGGCTTATTTTCTTGATGTTGTTTGTATTAGGACACTGGGAATTGTTCGGGGAGGTGGTCTTCAGAGCTGGTGGGAAGGTGGGAGGTGTATATTAAGGGTCTCGGTTTTTTTTTCTCCCTTGATTTTACAGATGTAGATTAGGATCAAACAAAATGTTATCCCAGGAATTTGTCTGTTCCGCTGATTCTTGATGGTGGAAGTCAGTGTCACTTTTTCATCAAAGTGGATGGGGTGAAACAGCAGTCATGCATTGTCTGAGTGGCAGCTGAATTTTCCTATCCAAACCCCTGAGTGCATTTCCATTATTTTATTTCCGCCTGCCTTATTATTCAAGGTGAGTGCAAAGTTAGGAGCCTCAATTTTTTTTCTTTTCTCTCTCAATACAAACACACCAGCTCTTCTACATCCAAATCACTGTTGTCCCCTTCGTAATTGTTCCTTGAGGAAACTAAATGCTTATTTGAATGCTGTGGCTATTAGTCAGACTCAGAAAGGTTTTACAACGCCCCTCTTTGGAATTGCCTTCAGCAAATTTTTTTGAAAACCCTCCTTCCTAACACATCTTTGTCCTTTGAGGATGAATTTGATGTTTGGGAGTTATCCAAAGATCTGACATATAAGGAACCCAGTCTGGTGTGTGAGGTCTGGGTGATCTGACTGGGTGCAAAGCAGTGCAACCCCAAGTCCTGTTGGTTTCAAGACAAGGCGCACCAAAGCAGACACCTTGGCCAGCTATACCTTAGATTTTTTTCCCGTCTGTTAAACAGGAATAAAGACACTGACTTTGAGAATTCAGGAGGCTATATTTCAAGTCTATTTGTTGAAAGGAAGAAAAAAAAATCGCGTCATTACTTTGTGGAGTTGTCTCATCTGTGCTGTAGGTGGTATCTTTTGACGGTCACAACATTTCAAAATGATGGCAGCTGCCCTGATAGAGGCAAATATATCTGTTCCAAACCCCACTTGGTAACTTTACCCTTCTTCGAATCACTGGGCTGGAGAAGGAAGTTGTAAGAGCCCTCTTGTCCAGGACTATCTCTCACCCTGTCCCGTGGCAGTGACTGGGCCATGCTCACCTGCTGTGGTCGTGGAGAAGATGACATGGTATGCCCTTCCCATGGAGTGCAAAGCTATCCAAGGATTGGTGGGGTACAAAAGGGGTCCACAGAAGAGTGGAGCAAATTCCCCTGTGTTTTGGAGTGGAGTTCCTGGCCGAAAGAAAGCTGGGAGAAAAGAGACTGGGGAACCTGGCAGATAACTCCTTATCAGTCACCTTCTTTTCCTTGCTTTTTTCTTTTCTTCCTTCTTGTTCTTCATCCTGGCCATTAGGCGAAGGAGGATAACGTGGTTCTTTCAAGTGAAACTGAAAGGAGGCACACTACCTGAGATACTGGTTGGATACTGTAAAATTGGGGGAAATCATGCGTTATTCGTGACCATTTCCACTGTGATGTAAGTAGCTTTCCTCAGATAGGAATGAAAGGTCAAAGTGATGTCCAGGGCAGAATCTGTGGGGATTGGTTGAATTCCCTATGGAAGGCTTTGGAGAACATCCCAAGTTTGGTAAAAAATATAGAGCATTTGAATCAAACTGGACTGCAACAGGAGGCTTCTGGGGCATTTGAGGCAGCATTTGCCCTTAAGCTCCCTCTCCTCTTGCCCTGAGCCAGTCTCCTGGGATGTTGGAATTTTTCTTTTTCCTGTGCTGAGAACTTAAAAAAGGGGGTTCTTAAGAGAAAGAACCCAGTCTCTTCCCAGACATGCATAATCATTCCTGCCTGCCTGCTGAGACAGGTCACAGGTATTCATGGAGTTCATGGCTCGAGTGCTTGCTGCCCTGGTCAAGAATCAATCTGATGGAGAAATGCATGGCTGGGGGGACGGGCCCAGAACACCAACCCTGACTTCCACCATTTCTGCCCAGCCCTGGAGTTTCTGGGATAAGCCCTGCCCTGTCCATACCTGTAGGAAATGGGAACCCATACCCTACTTCCTAGACCTTTCTGTAAAAGGATGTGGTTGTGACCCTTATTTCTGAATCCAAGGCCCTATAGAATTCAGAAAGGTCATTCTCCCAAATTAGCGGCTGCTGGGCTGCAGGGACCTCTCTGACCTGATGAAATGGGGTGGCCCTCGGGGCCCTGTGTTCTGAGCTGTCTGTCTCATAGGTGGTGGGAGGATACACATACTTACTGAGCGGCCCCACAGCTCCCTTAAACTCAGGGTGCTTCAGGATAAGGATGTTCTGCTGCCCAAAGGCCCACAACAAGTCTTATAAAGCATCAAACTTCAGTTTCAGGGTCCGGAGATCCAAGCTGACTGGTGAGAGTCCATCCTTGAGTCCCTGGGTTAGAGGGACCATTCTGATTTTTGGCTTTCTCATTTCCTCTTTATTCTATTCTCCCCAACCTGAGCATAAGAGATGAGAACGATCCTCCAGGACAGGGGGGTCACCAAACTATGGCCCAAGTGTTTTTGTAAACAAGGCTTAAGAGAGTGCAGGCACGCCTGTTTGTTTACACATCGTCTGTGGCCACACTCACGCTACAATGGCTGAGCTGAGTAGTTGCAACAGAGACCTTATGGCCTGCAAAGTCTAAAATATTTACTATCTGGCCTTTTACAGTAAAAGTTTGCCAAAATCTGCTCTAGGAGGTCGGGGCCAATTTGTCCTTTTATAGGCATTCTTGCCCACCCAGAAGTCAACAGGATGACACAGTTAAACAAAGCATTTGTGGAGGCTCTGCCAGGCTGGATACCACACAGCCATCCAACATAGCATCTTCGATCCTGTCCCTGGAGGAGGAGCTTCCAAGGGGGCTGGAGAGCCCCTGGGGAGTCAAGTAGGCCCCCAATTACCTCCTCTAGCCCCCGACACCCAGTACACACCTGGTGCCACAGCAGGGGTCAAATTGCCCAATGCCTGCAGCTGGGAAACCCTATGTTGGTTTCTGTTTAGTGTCAACCCGTTCGTAGAGAACCATTTGTCCTCAACACGACATTTGACTGATTCTTGGGTCTGTTGACAGAGAAGAATGCCAGCCTCACTCCTGGGACCACAAACTCCTAGGCTCACCTTTTCTGTCCCACCCCAGTGTCACTTTCTGAAAAATACCTTTGGAGTTGAGACAAGACCCATCTGTCAGATTTCAAACTTTTGTCTGTGTCTCCAAGAGGCTCCTCTTGGAGACAAAAGCCTTCTTTATCAGAGCCCCCATTCCCTGTGGGGACAGGACATTGTTTTCCTTGCAGTTTAGAGCCAGTGTGTTATCCAGATGGCTTTACCTCCCTCTGAAACACGTTGTACACGCATTTAGAGGCAGTCATTACCTACTGCCTTGTTTTTATTGCTGTCTTGTTTTGTCTAGACCAAGCCATTGCTGCAAGGAATCTGGCTGATGGCCGGGCAAGCAGCACATTCTGTAGACCTGCCATCACAGAGCAAGGGACCTGGAGGGCCCCAGGGAGGGGCTGAGAGTCAGCTACTTAGTCCTAAGAGATCTTAGTCTCTAAGCTTTGCCTCAGGTTTTTTGCTGCTTACCTCCTCTAGCCTGAGACCAGAGCTCTCGCTCTCTCTCTCTTCTTTTTTTTAGTGGAATGAGGAGTGAATTTCTTGGGTGCTTTCCTAAAAGGAAAGCTGACAATTCCCCAACAGAAGTAGAGGGTGACATTAAACCATTGCACTGGATGCCTTGGTGTCCTTCAAACCCAGAACCTGACCTGGGGAGAGAAACAGGATAAAAATGTTGGGTGCTTCCCAGGAATGGGAAGCTGGTGATTCTCCCTGGAGCCATCCCATGCAGAGTACACAGATACTTACCTGTGGTGGTGGTGGTGGTGGTGGTGGTGATGGTGGTGATGACGATGCCACCTTCCACTCACTTACAGCACTTCTCAACCCTGGCTGCATGTTCAAATCTCCCCAGGTGTTTTTAAAATTTACCTCGGAACCCCACCCCAAAGCAGTGATTTTGGAACTCTAATAGCAAGGCTGGCTTTGGTATCGGCAATTTTAAAATGCTCCTCAGAATATTCTGCTGTGCAGCCAGGGTTGAGAACGACTGGTATGATTTTATAGCCTGTGATTATAAGCAGCTTTTTATTTAATCCTCATGATTATGCAGTGAGTTTGGTGTTAGTATCCCCCTTTCCAGACAAGGAAACTGAGTCCTCAGGGATTCACTGAGGCTTGAGATCCAGGTCCCCTGACTCAGACTAGCTCCCGCCCTCCTTCCTGATCCAGCAGCTCAAGGGAAACACAGCTGCCTGGGCCTTTACGCTTCTGCACACACTCAGCTGCTCACGTGTTCTCAGTCCCCCGCCTCCTCACAGCCAGCCCTGGTTGTCCGTTTTCTTCCCCTTGAAGATCTTTTCCCACTTGAATCCGTCTGTGTTCACTGCACCCGGCCCTCCTTCACATGCACACACTCATATACACCTGCTGCTCTTCAGTCAGCTCCTGATAAAAAGCCCAGTTAGTTGTCTGCCTTGGGAGGTGACTTGGAATCCATTATTGCACTGGGCATTGCTACTCATGGACTCCCAGAACCCCTTGCGCTGGTAGAATCCCAGAATCCATTGCACTGGTAACTTCCCAGAATCCCAGAATCCATTGCACGGAGTAGTTCTCTTCCCCGAATACCCTTGGCCTGTTGCCCCAGGGCACTGGGAGGCAGGGCAGCCACATTCCACCACCCAGACTGGGTCAGGCAGCTGGCAAGTGAGTGAGCAAGGAAGGGTCCCCAGCTCCCTCAGCCACAGTGAGGTACTCTAAGCTTCACTTTATTTGCACAAAAGAACCCAGATGTCATCACCAGGGGCAAAGACGTGGTGGTGGCAGCTGCCGTCGCTGCTGATGCTTCGAGTCCTGGTTCATCTGATTGGGCCAGAATAGGGGGGATGCTGTCACAGCCATGCTGATGTCAATAGGATTTCATTTGGGGTCACACGGACCTGGGGGACCTCCTGGGTGAGAGACCCCTTGGCTGGGATGACACTGACGCTCCTTCTGAGAACAGTAGGGGTGGATGTCAGCACTTGGGGCTGGACTTAGAGGCGGGAAGCTGCAGCGCTACAGAAGCTTGCGTAACGCTGTGTTCGAGAGATCTGGCCTCTTTGTCAGGCTGAACTGGGTTTGAATCTTGCCCCCACTGCTAACTAGGACGTGGCCTTGGAAAAGTTACTTAATCTCTCTAAGCCTAAATTTCTGCCTCTAAAATGGAGGTAATGGTAGTTCTTACCTCAGAGGGAGAATTAATGGGCTAATCTAGGATAAACACTACGTGGCACCGGTCATTTAGTGAGTGCTCAGGAGGTGCTGGCTATTATTGCTGTCATTGTTCCCCACCTCCGGGTCAGGGCAGAAGGGATTTGCAGAACCTTTCTGTGGACACAGGAACCGCCCGAGGCTGAGGGTCCTGTAAGTGGAGCGCTCCCCCTGAAGCTGGAGGTGGGGGAGGCTTCCTCGCCTCCCTCTTCCTCACTTTCCAGGAGCTGCCTGCAGGGAGGGCAAGCCCACTGCTGACGGCCGTGGCCCGTTTTAGCTTTTGTACTCTGTCATCAACTTATATGTTAAATAGCATGTTCCAGAGAGCTCTGCAACGTGGTCTGGGCAGAAATTAAGCAACAGGGAGAAAACTCTGAGCTAGCAGCACCACAGTTTCCCACAGACATGCCTGGGAGCCGAGATCGGTGTGTAAATAGGTAGAGAGACACACAGTGCGTCTGTCCCAGGTGTGATGCGGGCGGAGGTCCAGAACGGACAGCGAGGGGACGTCTGGCAGCAGACGCCACCACTTTTGGGTCTCATGGATTAGAGGACATCTTTTCACGGACCTGGTCTCCCCCTGATAGTGTCACAGCCCCATCCGGAACCTGTTTGAAAAAAAGTAACAAAAGCAGGCATAAGCTTCCTGGTCTTTTTTGTCACTCTGAAGCAGCTGGTGTGCAAGTCTCCTTAAGGGATCCTAAGCTGGTACCTTGGGGGATAATTGCCAGGTGACCCAGAGGCTTGGGAGGTCCAGGTGAGAGGCCTACCCTCCTACAGAGGTGGGCATAGCTGGCTTGGAGGGCTGCAGAGAGGGCCTACTGAGTGTGAGCTGCTGGGACCCACATCTGGCCTAGAAGTCATTGGGGATGTGACCACATCCTTGCTGAGCCAGTTGAGTATGGAGTTCCTAGGACCTCAGTCAGGGGTGGATCTGACGTGAGGGTCCCAGGAATAGTTAAGATCCCCTTGATTCTTGGCTGTGCAGGAAGCCCGCCCAGAATCCTGATCTTGGTCCCCCAGGTACTGACCCTACTTTCTGCTTGTCTTGTTCTGTTGTATTTATTGGGCTCAAACCTATTTTTTTTCTCATTTCAGAAATTCCGGGTAGATATGCCTGGCTCAGGCAGCGCCTTCATCCCCACCATCAACGCCATCACGACCAGCCAGGACCTGCAGTGGATGGTGCAGCCCACGGTGATCACCTCCATGTCCAACCCGTACCCCCGCTCGCACCCCTACAGCCCCATTCCGGGCCTGGCCTCTGTCCCCGGACACATGGCCCTCCCAAGACCCGGTGTGATCAAGACCATTGGCACCACCGTGGGCCGTAGGAGGAGAGATGAGCAGGTACTGTTCAGAGCAGGAGCCACGTCGGTGGCTTTCAGGGCCTTATAACGCAGAGTGTTTTTCTGAAGACTGGAGGGGAGCAGGGGTCGATGTTCTGGGAACACTGGGGAGAAGAGAGAGCTGGGGACCAGGAACACATGGCCTTCATCACTGGAGGCAGAGCTGGAGACCTGTGAGTCAGGCCTGGCTCTGTCATCTCCCCCATGTCCCTTAGAATCTCTGAGTCTCAGTTTCCTCAGCTGCAATATGGAGATGGTGTCCTGCCGGCCAGGACTTGCTGTCGCTCTAAGAGATCATGGTGGGAAAGCACGTAGTGAATGGTGAGGCGTCAGCTTGTGGGCAGGACTTTTAGGACCTGTCTACAGTGGTGTCCTCTGATCCTTGGCAGAGGGGCCACAGGACGAGCAGCCAAGGAACCTTGGCCGGGAACTTTTTTGGGTTAGCCCTTAACTGTCTCCCAGTATTTGGTGCAGACAAGACACCCAGTGATCCTAAAGAGGACTGCTCTAGGTCAGCACTGCCCAAAGTATTTCCATACAACCCCCACCCCCACCCCTGCAACACCGATGTCCCAGGCCTCCAACTCAAGACAGGAACCCATTTCAAGTGCCTAGAAATTCTAGAATTGCAGGGACTCTGGGTCTTTGGAGTCTGGGTTGGTGGAGAGGGGAGGTCAGATATCATCAGCCTTTTTTTTCCTCAAGGAGTTCAGCTTTGAGTGGGAGTCAGCCTGGCTGGGAAGGATGCTGGGAAGGGGCAGAGCCTCTGCTCTCTGGGCAGCATCTACTCAACACTCAAAAGGCCCGTCGTCTGTATTAACAGTGAGCCAGGGCAGCAATGGCCCCCTGATTCCCAAAAGAGAAATCAGAATCATGCATAATTCTAGAAAGGAGGGAATGAGCCCTTAAAGAGCCCCATCTGCCCCCCTTCACAGATGACATAGCCAAGGCCTGGGCACAGCTATCTGGGGCCACTTGGCAAGGGAGTGGGGAAGTGTGGCCTAGAACCAGTCCCTGGGACCCCCCATGCCATGCTCCATCTACCACATCATGTCACTGAGAGTCTGGGAAGGGACAAACTTTAGCAGTAGAATCTCTTTTTCAAATGAAATGTTAGCCTGGAGAATTATTTCAGTTACAGCCGTAGAACCCCTCCTCATCCCAGCTACTGACCACCTCCACTCTGGGATCCCCAGGCCCACAGTATTCCAATCCAAGGACCTGCCAAACGTGATACCCAGTGGATAATCGTGGATCCAGTCCCCAGGATAGTTAGAATTACAAGGACTGCTTTCTGAGAAACTGGAAGCTTTCACAGGAGGAGCCCTGTTCCTCCGAGGACAAAGCTGGGCCTTGTGTTTGCTACATGTTGATTTCTTCTCTTAGGGGTGGGACCTGTGCAGGGGCAGCATGGGGAGGTGTGTGTAATAGATGTTACCAGACTCAGTTCTCAGTTGCTATTGGGCTTCTGCTGCCGGGGCAAGTGGCCAGTATCCCCCTCACTGTTGCTTTTGGTACTTGTGGTTGTAAATATTGCAGTAGCCGTGATCCTAATGTCCTTTGTAATTGTACTTCCTTTAGGGGGCCCAGGGAGCCAAGCTTGATAGTCACTGATGAGCTAGCTGGCTTCTCCCTGTATGCAAGGGACCCATGAGTGAGAGCCAGGCTTGTGAGAGACTCTTGGGTTAGCAGGTCAACAAAGCAAGATGTGCTCTTCATTCTTTTCTGGACCTAGCTCACACCAAATTTAGAAGTTTATATCTGGGAAAGACTTTGGAGACCAGCTCTTCTAATTTTCCCTCTGCACCCATTTTACAGATGAGGAAGCTAAGCCCACAAAGGAGAAGGGCCCTGTCCAGGGTCACGCAGTGAGTTAGTAGCAGAGCCAGGACTGGAATCCACCTCCTTTGACCTTCAGCCCTGTGGCTTTCCCACCACACCACCAAGGCGTGCCCTAAAACAATCTGTCTGGAGAATTTCCTTCCTTTTTTGAGAGGGAAGGAGAGAACCAGAAGCATTTGATCCCATGTCGATTAGTTCACACAATCATCCGGCAGCTTGGAGGAAGCCTTGGGGGCAGCATCCTAGAACTTCGGCCCTTTGGGTTCCTGGCCCTGGAGTCTATTCTATGAAACTTACTTCCGCCTTCCCAGCCTCCCCCAGGGGGAGGAGCCTGTTACCAGGAGCTGCCTGGTGCCTCACTGTCCTCCTCCTGAGCCTGCCCCGGAGGCTCCCTCTGAGGCCAGCGGTGGTGACTTGGTGGGGGCAGGGGAGGGTGTGTGTGGCTTGTGGGTGGGTATAGGTGGTGCTGACACACTTAAGCTGTAATCCTGTTGTCACTGTCTCTGAACACTTCCTATGGCAAGAGCTCCCGCAGGTTGCCCTACACCTCAACAGATAGGGGGAGACTTTCTAGGGCAAGTGGGAGCCCAAACATGTCCAGAAGCAGCAAGAGGGAAGGGAAGCTGAAATGAACCAGGGCCAGGTCTCTGTCTTTTCTGCCCCTCATCAGTGAGGGACCAGGGTGGCTGGCTGGGCCTCAAGGGAAAGCTGATACCTTTCCGTGGTGAGCCCTGAACCCGGGACTGCGGTGGGGCTGTGAGGCTCTCCTGAGAATGCTCTTGGGCTCAGGGTGAGATGGGTTCAGGAGCAGGAAGTGTTCAGGGCCTTGGCCAAGTGACCTTGTGATCTCAGCCCACAGCCGATCCCTGCAGAGAACAGGGCACCTGCGTCTGTGGACTCTGAGTCTCCAGTTAATTTGGATTCTTTCAGGACTCAGAAAAAACATCAGAGAGAAGAACTGTGAATCGCATCTTCTTTCTAGCACTTTCTAGCTGAGAGAGGACTCAAACTGTGTCTCATCTGATCATTGCAGAAACCTTGTGGAAGCCAGGGCAGGTCCTAGTAATCCCATTTTAGAAAAGGGGAATCTGAGGCCCAGAAGGTTCAGTGATTTTTCCACATTCACCCAGAAGTACCACATCTGTGTTTGGTTCCCAGGCTGCCTGACACCTCTCAGAGGAGAGACTGTTGAGTCGTTGGCTTTTCTGGGGAGGCGGAGGACAGGGCTTGAAGAGGAGAGTGGAGCCAGGACTCCCGTGCGAAATTCTAAGACCAGGTCTTTGGAAGGGGCCTGAAGACTAACAGGAATGTTACCAGATGGATGGGTTCAGGCTCAGCGCTCCCACCTGGAGGCTGCTGTGGAGGGCTGGTGGGGGTGAGGGGTACAGCGATGCTATGCTCTGCTTTGCTGTTGGGACATCACAGCGATACACCTGAAGGGCTGCTGCCGGGAGCGTCCTGGGGACTCTGGCCTGGGCCCAGTCAGGGGAGCGGCTCCCTCCCTCACAGGGTGGCTGGCGATCAAGGCAGCATCTCTCGGTGGGGCAGCTTCTCTCTTGCCCCTCCCAAAAGTGGCTTCAGCCTTTTCCCTATGTGTCTGTTGAGGACACAGGTCTTATTCTCTCAGAATCTTCTAAGTCCCTGGTACTGCCCTTGGCACATAGGAGGTGTGCGGTAGTGTCTGTTAACTGAATGGGGTGCTCTTTCCTTTTGAACTGCTCCCTGTCTTGGCCCACAGCCATCTCCTCACATCACCTCTGCCTGTGTGGGGCTGAGTAGCCGTTCCCTGGAAGGGCTCTGTGCAAATGGCATCAGCCCTGCTTAGAGGAGCAGAGGAGCTCTTGCCCTCTGGCCTGAGCCACAGCCCCCTACTCAGCCTCACTGTAAGGAGCTGGATTGTAAACTCTGTAGGGGGAGTTTTGTTCATTTGGTCTGCTGACCAATCTTTAATCCTTCAAGCCGTGCCTGGCATGTGCTTGTTGGTTGAATGAGTGGGTGTGGTGGGCACCTGCTGAACCTGCGGGCTCCCGTCTTTCTGTGGGTCCTGTCCAGCCCAGCACTGTGCCAGGCACCCTGGTGAGTCCTTGGGCTTGAACAATGAGCAGCCGGCACGCTGGGGCTGGCAGAAGAAGTTGGGAGTGGAGTGGCATCCCCAGCACTCCCTCTGGCAACAGAACATTCCCCCCTGGGTTGTTCTCACTCTGGGCCCAGCTACTTAATCAAATGGGGATAATGAGGCTTGCAGCGCAGGCAGGGTGATGGGGAGGAGTAATTAGCCAGAGTTTGGAGGAAGCTGCTTAAGTGGGCAGGGCCTGGCCCAGCTGGCACGAGGGGACTCTCTGGGGGAAGCAGCCAGCTCATCCTCTTGGGCCTTGGCACCGAATCAGGGCTGACATGACACATGCTACCGTCATGCCTGGGCTGGCGAGCCCCTGACCACGGCTGCCCTGTTTTCTCCTCAAACCTGCGACATCACCTTCTGGGGATTTGGCTCCAGGTGTCCTCCCTGGCATCCAGACAGCAGTGAGCTGCATGTTCTGGGACCTCTGAGCCCAGCCACACTCCTCTGCCTTCCTCCCTCCCCTCCTCAGTCCCAGAGGGCTTCTTCCCCTACTTAAAATGCAGTTAAAAACCAAAAAGCTGGTGAACCATGTACTGGAGCCTAACCGCCTAACCGTGATCCTCGACCTTGGCTCTAGCTGTCTCCTGAAGAGGAAGAGAAGCGTCGAATCCGGAGGGAGAGGAACAAGCTGGCGGCAGCCAAGTGCAGGAACCGTCGCCGGGAGCTGACAGAGAAGCTGCAGGCGGTGAGGAGCTCCGACGGGTGGGAGCACTTGTGGGGCGCCCAAGCAGGAACCCCAGGGCCCCCCGGCCCCCCCCACTCCTTGCCCCTAGGGGCTTATGTATGAGTCAGTGGAGACAAACATTCCTTCCTTTCAGCCCTGAGTTAGCACTGCCCTGATTAACAAGGGACTTAGGGGAGGGGGCTGGCCTTCAGCAACAGCCCGGGCCCAGAGGGAGAGACCTGGAAGGGCTTCTTGGGCCTGAGTGGTCCCTGCACTAAGGCCAGCTGGGCCTCCCGGGTGAGGGATGGCAGAGGGTGTCCGCATTGCCAGGCCTGGGCAGGGCAGGCCCAGACCTGCCCCCTCCAGGGCTACTTCCCAAAGTTCCAGCCACCCCCATGCCTGCCGCCAGCATGAGCGGCCCAGCCTCGCTTCAGAGATTTAGTTTGGGCAGCAAGGAGACCTGCTGTCTGAGCCCCTTCACCTCTGCAGGGTCTTCTGCTCTCTGGGTCTCTTGGGGATGGCTTACATGCAGCTGAGTTGTACTATCTTGGGGTTTTCTCGTAACCTCCACGCACAGGAGCATTCCCCGCCTCTGCTATGAGCCTGAAGCTGTCACCTTGGTACCTCACGCTGCCCTCGTGAGTCATTCTCCCCTGCTGCCTAATTGCCCACACCTGGGGGCCCATGGCTCTGCCCTTCCCTCTCGAAAGCTTGACCTGACCAACGTCACGTAAGTCCCTCCAGAGCCCAGCCCTACAGGGTGGCCGTCTGCCATGCGGAGGAAGCCCAAAGCCAGGAGTAGCTCTCCTGGGTGGAATGTTTTCAAAGTGAGGAGGTGAAGGAGACCCTGTCGGTGGTCCTCACAATGATTGGCCAGGATGGTGCTTTGGAAATCATAATTACCTGGCACATCCCATTACTTTATTTAATCCTCCCAGTTACCATCCACCTGCTTCTGTTTCCCTTTGTCCATCTGGAGCCCTCACTCTTGGGTCTTGAGTGTGCACTGTGTGAATTCTGTGGTGCTGGTAGTAATGTCCCGTGGAGGTGACAGAGTTGGGAAAGATGAGTGGGGGTTCTCGGACGCCAGGGGAGGTGGATCTGTTAGTGATCAGCACTCCATGGGAGATTCCCCCAGGACAGCCCTCCCCACTGCGAACTCTTTGAGGAGCCACGCCCCCGGGTCTACCCAGGGTACTCCTCCCACCAGCCCAGAATAGCCTGCCCTCCGAGGCCCCTCTGCTTCCCTCGCTCAGAAGCCTCACACCCTACTCCCCCGCCTCCCCACGACCCAGCCACGCAGGCCCCTGAGCCACATCCTCCACAGGAAACCTCTCAGAAGCTCATGACGTTCATCAGACCCTTGAGACAGATGGAAACTTTTTTTCACTCCGGAATATGCTGTACTCTGCTTACCAGAGCTCTGGCCCGTGTCAGCTCATTCTTGAACAGGAATCTGTGTTAGGGAAAAGTGGGAACGAGGGCGGTGATACACTCCTTTTTGTCTTCCGTAACAACGCCCTCCATGTGGCTTTGCTGCCTCTCCGGCTGACGTGAAAGGAGGGGTGAGGTTCTTCCAGTGGGTCCCTGCCGTCCTCACGTGCCTGCCCAGGCCATCAGGGGTCTCATCTGTTAAAGCACAGGGGCTGAACTGAATGTTCTCCCGGGTTCTGCGAGTCCTGAAACATGCTTTTTACTTAGAACAAAAAAGGGAAGAGGGGCAGTGATGATCCAGCTGGGATGGACTGAGCATTTCCTACAAGCTACACACCGTCCTAGGCGTGTGTGTGCAGACAGAAATCTCCACTGTTATGCAGCTTAGAGTTGAGAGTGTGTCCACGGGCGAGCTGGATGGGGTGAGGAGGTCTGAGGAGAGAGGCGTGAGGCGCGTGCTGGGCTCCCTTCCCCCGCCAGATCTCACTGTTACTCACCCTGCAGGGGTACCGGGGGCCATCCTGGCCCCAAGACAGAAGAGCATACTAGTGTATGGTTTCTGGTGTCAGATACATTGGGGTCAAACCTGGGCTACCCTATCTGCTTGCTCTGTGACATGGGGCAAATTATTAAACGTCTTGGAAACTCAGTTTTCTTATCTGCCAAATGGGTTGCTGAAATACCCGCTTAAAAAACTGCTAGATTGAATGAGATAATGCCTGTGAAATGCTTAACACGGTGCCTGGCACAAAGGAAGTGCTCAACCATGGAAGCCACAGTGGTTAATTCACCTTTCCTCCAAGCCAACTTCCCTCTTTTCTCAATCTGAAGCTTTGGGAATAAAAGGAATCTTGAACCTCCAGGTGGCTCAGAGGCAGTGGGGTATGAGCTGGCTGCCTTCATGGTCAGTCCTCTGAGGACATGGCTGGCTTTCCCTTTCCCACCGGGATTGGATGCCCCTTCCCTACCCCTGCCACTGCCCCTCACATGCCCCTCTTCCCGCTGCAGGAAACGGAGGAGCTGGAGGAGGAGAAGTCAGGCCTGCAGAAGGAGATTGCCGAGCTGCAGAAGGAGAAGGAGAAGCTGGAGTTCATGCTGGTGGCCCATGGGCCTGTGTGCAAGATCAGCCCCGAGGAGCGCCGATCTCCCCCAGCCTCCGGGCTGCAGCCCCTGCACAGCGGGAGCAGCGGAGGAGTGGGTGCCGTGGTGGTGAAGCAGGAGCCCCCGGAAGAGGATAGCCCCTCGTCCTCATCGGCGGGGCTGGACAAGGCCCAGCGCTCCGTGATCAAGCCCATCAGCATTGCTGGGGGCTTCTACGGGGAGGAGCCCTTGCACACCCCTATTGTGGTGACCTCCACTCCTGCCATCACTCCAGGCACCTCGAACCTCGTCTTCACCTACCCCAGCGTCCTGGAGCAGGAGTCGCCCGCTTCACCCTCCGAGTCCTGCTCCAAGGCCCACCGCAGAAGCAGTAGCAGTGGGGACCAGTCGTCAGACTCCTTGAACTCCCCAACTCTGCTGGCTCTGTAACCCAGCTCCCAGAGGGGTCCTCGTCACTGCCTCCTTCCCAGGGACCAGCACCTTCTAGCACTCCAGGGCCGTGAGGGCAAGAGGGGGAACCTGCTGGAGAGCTTCCTGGCTCTGGGAGACCCAAGGGGATTTGGTGGTGAGGCATTGGAGGACTTGGATGAGCACCTGAAAGTCATGGGACCTCCTCCCTTGTTCATCTGGCAAAGCAAATCCTGTTTCTTGAAAAGCCTTGGAGAACTTCATTTGGTGGACTCCGGCATCTCTCTGGCTTCTGAAGAGCTTGAAGCTGGTGTGGACCGTTCCTGTCCCTTTGTTACGACATGTCTCTGGAGTGATGGTGTCTTTCCCCGCCCCACCAAGCATGCTCAGTGCCTTTTGGTTTCACCTCCCCTCTATTTGCCCCTTCCTTCCCCCAGTGTCAATTTTACTTCCTCTTGGTTTTTATCAAATTCACCATGACATTTCATCTGGGTGGTCTGAATATTAAAGCTCTTCATTTCTGGAGATGGGGCAGCAAGTGACTCTTCTGCTGGGGCTGGCTCGTCCAGAAGGGGACAGTCAATGTGCAATACAGAACCTTCCCTCCCCTGAAACTCCCCAGCCCACCACCATCTCCAGAACCAGCAGCAGGGCTCCATGAGCTCTCACGGAGATGCTGCCATCACGGAGGCTTGGAGGACCCTCCCTCCCCATCCTCAGACATGGCCTTTGGAGGAGCGGCTTGGCCAGAAGACAGGGTATGAGTGAGACAGCTCGGGCACAGATTGGGTTTGCCAAACGCCTAATTACGAGGCGAGGAATAGTGCCAACAAGCCACAAGAGTGTCCTAGCCAGCTTCCCTTCACCCAGCGTCTTGAGTAGGACGTCTCCTGTAATTACTGCCCCACCATTCTGCCCCTGGACCCTTCTCTCCAGACCAAGGAGGCACCCCTAGGAACCTCACATCACTCCCAAGTCCCTGCAGGCTCCGCCCTCCCCCACCCTGCCTCTCAGGGTGACGCCACCCATGGAGGTTTAATGAGCGTTGGCCTGGCCCCTCCCCAGATTGCTGCTGTGTGGCCCCTCCCCAGGCCTCAGAGGCGCCTCTGCTATGGATGGAAAGGCGGGGAGGAAGGAGGGAGGCAGCTGGAGTGGGGATCGCCTCACAGCAGCCCCAGTACCTGCTTCTCGCCTCTCAGTGAGGTGCCAGGCCTCTTCTACCCTCTGTGGTCACCTGCTGCCTGATGGATCTAGTGCTTGCTCTCTTACACTCCCCTGCCCCCTTGCCCCCCTGTGCTCCTCAGGTCCGTCAGCCAGCTGTGGCTTGCAGCTTATGCGCCATTCCTGGGGGCTGCTGAAATCAGAGATGAGATGTGTTGCTTCCCACTGCCAGCAAGCTGTCCCCTTCCTATGGCTTGGGGGGTGAGGAAGGGGGTCCTCCTGCCTCCCCAAGAGCACAGCTTGGCAGAGTTCAGCGTGGGCCCTGCCCCTCACCTCTCTGAGCCCTTTTCTCCCCAGGGCATAGCTCCCACCCATCTTCCAGGATTGGCCTCTGCTGGGCTAGTGCTCTGAGGGAGACCTCGCTGTTGTGATTCATCTCTAGAGATCATCGTGTGATAACTTAAAACTATATGGATATTCTTTAAATCAACCTAGTGGGGATTAAATCTCAAAGTTGGACTCAGGAGCGAGGGAGAAAGAGTGACACAGTTGCTCACCTGTTCCTTCAACAGCCAGGCCTCTCACGCTGGCCGTTGTTTAATGTCCATCATCCACTTACTGAGCACTAGCCACAGAATGGAACAGCTGTATGCCTGAAATACACAGCCCGCTATGACTGGAAGTGACGTGTGGAGGGACAGGGCACACAGAGAGAGGAGGCTGAAAGATAAAGGAAGGATCTGTTCCCAGATGCTCTAACGATGTTATTTCCCACATTCCTTGGCTGTGATGCTGCCCTCCCAGTTTCCCAGAGGTTCTGGGAGCAGCGCTCCTGATAAGATTGGGCAGTTGGGTTTCTGGCTTCACATTAATCAAAGAAGCCAGGAGACAGGCGAAGAGAACAGGGGTGCGCTCAGCTCTGAAAGGCTTAATCATCTCAAGTGGCATTTGTGGCCAACTGGGAGCTATATATATATATATTTCTTAAATGAAGCTGCTTTCTGGTGTTTTATTTCTCAAAATCCCTTTGTGCCCCTCTTTGCACTGATCCCAAGGCAGCTCCTGATCTGTGACTTGGGGCCAGGCTGTAATGTTCTTGAGATGGAGTTTGGCTTTCGTTCAGATTTCAGTTCTGTGTTGGCTTTGGGACCAGCAGAAAGCAAAAAATCTGGCTGCCTTGCAGGACTTTCGAGGCCTCCAAGCTGTGTTTCTATTCAGGACCCTCTGGCTTTGTTCTGGGAGGTAGTTTGGTCTCTCCAAAGCCAGAGGTTATCGGGGAAGGCTGAATATTCACACCTGACTCACAGTTACACGTCCTCAGTTACCTCTGGCTGGTTCTGCAAGTTCACGCCGGACACCAGGCCTGCCACCTCCTCCCCCGTGGAGCTGGCTCAGGGAGCAGCTGCAGCGGGCCTTTGTGCCTGGGCTGGGAACCGCTGTGTTTTCCCCGTGTCCCCAGCCGTGAGGCAGCTGGTGCGCACTCCAGCTGGGCTGCAGGCAGCTCTGGGATGGCACAGGGCAGGCACTCCTTGACAGGCTGCTGTGAAACACACGGTCCCCTTGGCGCCCTGGCCGGCCTCTCTGGGACTAGTCCTCTTCCTGACCGGTGGGTGGGGATAGCTGCTGACACAGGAAAGAGAGGAGATCCCAGGTGAAGCTTAGGAAATCACCAGAGCCAACTCGGATTCACTGGGGAAGTTTTCGGAAAGAAATCGTTGTTCTGCTTGTGAGAAAGGCCTGGTGTGTCCACCATGGGCAGTCCCACAGCATCTCAAAGCCAAGGGCCGTCAGCGGCTGTTGCTTCCCTTTCTCAGGCTTTGGGGAAGGGAGTCTCCTCTGCTCCCGCTTGGCTCCATTTTAAAGAGGAGCTCAACATGGAGGCACTGGGTCTTTTCTCCCCTTTCCTTGATGGACCAGTAGTGCTCCTTGCAATCTCACCTTTTAAATTCCAGGTTGATCTCCTTCCCTGATCAGACATCCACGTGGCCTCTTTAAGAAGCAAAGAATAGCACCTACCATGTGCCGGGCCCTGCGTTAGGCACTTTTATACATATACCCTCTTTAGGATGAGACTAAGAGATGAGGACTTCCCTCATTAAAGGCCCCCATGTAAGGGATACACAAAAGCACTTGGAGGTGAGAAGGTCTTTCTCCAAAGATCCAAGGCAAGATTGCCTTTGATCCGAGGTTTGTTCTCAAAGACCCACCCCTTACAATATCCTCCCATCTCTCAACTTCTTTGCCCTGGGATTTGCTCCTTTGCATTCTTCAGATGGTTGGAAGGGTAACCTGAGTCCTTATAGAATTTGTGGACCAATAGGATATGTGGTGTGTGTACCTTTCTTTCGAAAACTGAAGTAAAGGGGTCTTGCTATTTTCTGCTTGTTGAGTCTTCTTGGCATTCATCTTAAAAGCCAGCATCTCACTATTTATTGACAAGTTCTGTGTGTGTGTGTGTGTGTGTGTGTGTATACATTTCTAGGTGTTTCTAGGCCCATGTCCTCCTGCAGCTTTTAAAAAAGAAACCCAGTCATCCCACTACTAAATTGACACCTTCTCATGCTTCTAGTATTTTGGCCATTCATCAACAGAGGGTTTTAATTTTCCAATGCTGACATGTTCAGGAGGAGCTGGGTCAAATTTTGAGCGGGGTATGGGAACAGGAGGCGGAGAAGAAATTGACATTTATTTTATTATTTATTTTAAATGTTTACATCTTTGTGTTGTACCACGCCCAAATAGAAAAAGATAGCATTAAAATGCTCAGTTCCTCTCTCCCTCTCTTTCTTCTTTACAATTTAAAAAAAAATTTAGGCTAATGATGCTTTTTGTTTGTTTCTAAAATGATTTGTGACTTGTGCTGTATAAACTGTATAAAAAGGTTCTGTTTTTAAAGATGGACTGTCATTCCTTTGGGGACAGTAGTCACCAAGAAGTCTACATTGTAAGAGAACATAAGGAAAGATCCTGCCCTGTTCCTCAAAAATTGTTTTCTCTGTATGATTAAAAGTTTATTCCATTTATTTTAGTTTGTGGTTACTTGATGTCAAGGAAGAAAATTTTCACCTTTGTATAAAGAATAGGTATCAGGGTGTTTTTTCCTGCAGTGAGAGATGTATATATAGTATTTTGGTATATAGTGGACAATCATAAGCTTTGTGCATCTGTATTTGAGGTATGTCGATGATGTGGAGTAAAGACTGCTATAAAATCCTGAGGCAAAAAAAAAAGTTGTACAAGATTCCTATAACTTGATGGGGAATTTAATTATCTTTCTGAGCACCTTTTTTTCCTTTTTTTAAAGTATTGGTGAAATGGTCCCATTGGAAAGACTTCTAAATAGGCCTCTCCAGGCAGGACCATGAGCTCAAAAATCTTTGTATAGTTTTGAAAATTGAGGAGTAGCTTTGCTCTGAAGCATCTCTGGTGGTGTTCTGTTGTTTTGTTTTGTTATTTTACTGTAATACAAGCCTACAGTATTTGCACTAAAGAAAGCTTGTTAGAAAAAGCTTGCTGCTATGGAAGAAAGAACATACTAGAACTTTTTTTTCCTTTTTCCTTTTTTTTTTTTTGGTTAGCTTTTCCACTTTCAATTGAGTAGCATTTTGTAGAATAAAATGAATTAAGATTGAAGAGCCTCTGATGGTTGGTTTATTCTATCATTTCTTCCCATCTCTCCTGTCACTTCTCTTTGTCTTCTAGATTTTTCTACTTTTGGCCCGTGGGCAGAGTTGGTCTCTGGTGGGAATGGGGAAGCAGGGAATGGCTCCCCTGGAACCTGTTTCTGCAAAACTGAGGTGAGCTGCTGAGAGGGGCCTCAAACTCCCCCACCTCCCTTTCTCGTCCTTCTTTCTCCCCTGGATCCTCTCCAACCTCTTCCAATCCTGCTCCCCACTTCTCAGGGCCTGATTCTCAGCCAGCTGCCAAGTACTGCCAAGGTGTGAGCCAGTAAAGTTCCTGTCCCTTCGTGGGGGTATCTTGTTTGACCAAAGTTGACTCTGGAAACCCAGGAATCTTCAAAAAGCCAATCAAAGTTATTGCTCACATTGTCCAGGTGGTCACATGAGATCATGCACAGGAAAGGGCTCTGAAAATGACCAAGGCATGCAAGTAAGTGGGACGATCACAGCTCCAGACTTCCTTTTTGAATAGATGCAGGTTGTTGGGTGTGGAACACTGAGAAGTGTCAGCCAGACCCCATTGCCCTGTAGCCCGGGAAACCCGGGGTGGATGAGGAGCATCTGCGCTGGGTGGTGTGCCGGCAGCCTAAACGGTGTGCAGGCACACCTGTCATTAGTTAGCGCTGGCTGATAGGTAGGCCCTGAAATGGCACCACTCCCCACTAACCTGCTTAAGACGACCTCAGGGTATAGCCAGAGGACCCAAGAGCACTGGACTGTGAGTCACGGGGCCCTGAATCCCAGGTCTGCCCCCACTACTTACTGGCCATTGAACCTCTCTGAGCCTTAGTTTCCTCTGTGTAAGGGGGGAGGGTAATGACAGTACGATAAGAGCACTCCCACTGGGAGGATTCTGACGTCTCCTCCCCTCCCTTTGGAGAGGGCCCGGGGTATAAGGGAACGGGGACTCAAAACTCTCAGCACCAGGCTTCCGCGTGGCCACTTCTGCCTGAGTAACAACACAGACAGAGTCTGGGGTGTCTCAGCGGTCCCTGTATTTTCCTGAGCAACTGGCGTGTCTCTGTGGTGTAAGTGTCAAGGAGGCAGATGCTGGGAATGTTGACATCGGCTTCTGTCGGCTTTCGGGATGATGCTGTCCGGAGAGAAGCATGTGTTTCTGCTTGTCTCTCATGCCTAGGCACTGCAATAACATTTTTCACCTTCCGGCAACACTTCAAAATCTACTTGGTTTGTTTAAATTCCCACCTCTTCACCCACTTTGGCAATTAGAGAGGCTGATGGTTGCCAGGTGCTTATTAGATGGCGTCATCAGCAGTCCTGCTTCTCTGAGCAGTTGTAACGCCGTAAAAGCATCCAGACGGCTTTTTAGCCTTTTATTGAGAAAAACAACAAGAGGCCACCGCTGTTTGGCTCTAACAGGGGCTGTTGGGGAATTTTGCAGTCACTGCTGGGTCTAGACTGTTTTGGTAAAGTGACCTGGGTTGATGGTAAATTCCATTGATTAACTTTCCAACAAAGTTGGAGTTTGAAAGATTAAGCAGGGTTTTCTTCCTTGGGAAAGATGTCTTGCTGAGGGATTCCTGGGACGGTCCCCTTTTGCTGGACCTAGAGTTTCCCAAGTAAACACAACTTTGTCACCGGGCTTTCTTTGTTCACTGGACCGCCGCTGAGTAAGGGAAGAGGAATTTCTCCTGGAGCTGGTATTTTCCAAGGCAGTCTGCAATGTTTGTCTCTTGGGCTACTGAGTGAGACGATGTATGTGAAGGCCTATGAAAAGGTATGATGTGCTAGAAAAATATAAGGGGAAACCTGGTTATAAAGTTGACTGATGCAACTTGATTGTAACACAGCCTCTGGGCTCCAAGGCCATGTTTGAAACGGAAGGGTGTGATTTCCCTTTGGGTCTGGTGTGTTTGAAGGATGGATGGAGACTTGTACGGTGGGCAGCCCAGCCCCCGCCGGCCCGGGCCCCCGCTCGAGACTGCCAGGCACACCGAGGGAGTAGGAGC